CCTCTCTCTTTCTCTCTCTCTCTCTCTCTCTCTCTGTCTCTCTCTTTCTGTTGTCCGCGTACCATAGTTTCAGGTGCAGGAATTGTTTTGCAAATGTGATGTTTTAAAGAGGTTGTTTCTTCAGCATAGTTATCCAGCCATTTTTCAGAAGGGTAACGGCTTTCTGTTGGAGTAAAAGCATACTTATGAGATAAGATCCTATTTCCTTAAAACTTTTTCTAGCAGTTGTCCTTTTGAAAACCTCTTTTTTTTGTTCAGGAAGGGAAAAATAGTTCCTGTAGCGAGCTAGTCTTTTGTGATGGAGGTATTTAAAAGTCACACCTAGATTTTCAGCGCAACAGTAGTTTTCCACCTCTTTGGTTTATTGTTTGAGATTTTGAACTGAAGGTGTTGTTGATGTGATGTTGAAATACAGCTTTCTGTCTATTATTGCTGAGTCTAAATACTACTTCGAAACCGAGGATAATGACTAATAATATTGAACTAACAGAATGTTTACCCTTTTTAGTCCAGAGTTCTTGTTTTGTTCTTTTTTATTAACATTCATTGCGTTTGTTTACAATTTTGCATTTACTGCTCCCAATGTGTCAGAGCTAGATAGTTGAACTTTTCCAAGACCCATTGTCATGGAAAAAAGTTATCATCCTTGTCAGGTGGTCTCCTAAGACAGTCATAATGTAGAAGAAAAAAAATACAAGGATGGAAGCGATCTTTTGTACTTGTTATATAAATGTCTTTGACAGGTGGTAATTAGAACAGATTTAACTTGCTTATATTTGTAGTCATATATGTCCTCTGATGAAAAGGCCGCTTGATTTCACATGAATAAGTGCCCCGACATCATCTGTGATGTTGGGGTTAGTCGTTAGTGATCTCCTATTATAATCTCTGTCTTTCTGCTGGGATGTTGTATCCTTCTTAACCAGGGTTGGTCTTGACAGGCTGGGTCAGAAGCCGGCCTCTTGAATGATCTAGAATATGTTGATGGAGACTTAAAAACACCTACTTAAAAAAAAAAAATACAGCTATAAACAAATCATAATTGCCTTTGTGGGCCAGTTCTTTCCAGTTTATCTTCTCAGTCCCCTAAGGGACATTGAACGTTAATAGTACTTTTGCTGTTGAGGCACATGCAGTTATTATAAATCATTATTTAGTGACACAAATATGGAACCTTATATTTTTGTGGATGTGTTTCTTCTTTCCTTTACAGAGTGTTCACGGACGGCTCAAGTTGGTCACGGGTTCTCTTCTTACTGAGCTTTGGGTACCGAATGGCAATCAACACCTTAAGGACCCAGGCTTCCAAGTTTGCCAGTTTTTTGTCAAAAATAGTCTCTTTTGTGTGCCGGTTTCTTGCGGTTGAAAAAATCACAAAGTGGATCGCAGATCATGGTGGATGGGTGAGTGTCTTTGAAACGTCTGATTCTGTACAATTAAAGTTGTGTGGATGTTCAGCTCCATTTCTGTACACATTGTTTGACTGACAAAAAGGTAGAGAATGGTGATGTTGCTTTTAAAACATGGGGGGTGGGGGAGAATAGCTGGCCTTTGAAAGGCCTGTCTATGCTTTTAGCAAATCATTGATTAAAATGTTTTTAAAATTCCTTTTGTAAAGCAAGGATTATTTATGTGTTCCACCAGTTACAGTCAAACCTTGCCGACCTTGGGACAAGCATGAAATTGATGGTATGACAGGGCTTGAGACATAATGGTGTTTTAATGATGCCCTGTTTATTAGCACAAGCTGCTCAAAGTAAAGGGAAATGATTCTACCACTATTAAATGAAGAGTAATATTGTAATGTGCTATTTCCCTTGGTCCAAAAAGCTTTCCTTCAATTTAATGCATGTGGGGATGGCTTGCTCTCAGAATCTTGTGTGGGGAATAAGAGAGATTAACACTAACACTTGTAGCTACTGAGTTTGCTGTGTGTAGTGTGTACATCTGGCTGCTCAGTTGGCTAAAGGTATTGCAGGGTAAATTAACCTTTTATTAGAAAGGACAGTACAACTGGAGCTATTTGCTGGTGGTGATTTATAATAGTACTGTTGAGCACGGATATCTTGAATACGCTGAAGGTTGAAAAATGTGTTCAACACATTCGCAATTTAAGTAAGCCTTGATAAAAAAAAAAATAAGACATATAGTGACGAAAATGACTTCCCGATTGATATTTTTATGAAATACTCTTACATGCACACGAAAACAAACGTAATTCATCCATTGTATGGTCCAGTGCAGTGCCAAGTGTCGTGTGTTTGATCACTCCACATCCCCCAGCACCCATCCTCACATTGCTATAGCTATTAGCTTGTTCACTTTATCTGACAGCGCTTAAAACAAGATGAAAAAAAATCGCTCTGTTCTATCTTCTCAAATTTTTGCATACAGGTCTAAAAGTTGGATGACCAGCAGAATCTAAAAGCCCATACATTAAGGTCACTGCAAACTAAGGTTCCGACCTGTTTTCTTTGATGTAAGCCCAAAACAGGAAAAAAAATAATAGCAACTTCGATAGGTTTGTGTAGTGCCGCAAAAGTAACCGATACTGCTCCCGCCTTTATGAAAGAACACAGACTATCTTGGTATCGTTGTGTCAAGCAGCCATTCTACTTCTCGATTATTATGTTCTTTACTCTATTTGCATTCCGATTTTCAACCAATCACGATTTTGTGGCATACCCACGCTTGGGGCAACTTCGACAGGGGGTCGTGCAAATTCGACCCCCCGCATGGGGCAACTTCGACATAGGCTGAAAGAGTAAGAATGCTGACTGACAGGGGCTGTGGGCAACTTCGACAGGGGGCGGATATCTTCAACAGTAGGCCTAGTCTAAGATACTGAGTGCTTATTCAACTTATTGTGCCCCCCCCCCCCTCTCTCTCTCTCTTTCTCAGGTCCTCTAGAATGCTGAATTTTCTGTCTATCTCTCTCTGTCTCCTACCAGCCCCCCACCCCCCCTCTCCCTCTTTCTCCGAGCACGCACACTCACTAAGACACGCACTCACATCATAGGCCTACGTGCGCACACGCACGCACACACATACACACACACACACACTCACACTCACTTTCTCTCTCTCTCTCTCTCTCTCTCTCTCTCTCTCTCTCTCTCTCTCTCTCTCTCTCTCTCTCTCTCTCTCACACACACACACACACACATTTAGCTCCGAAAATGCGATAATTGAGCGATCTAGTCTAAGTCTAAGTCTAAATTTCTGCTAGTTTGTATCTGACCAGTCAAGGAATTTCAGCCAACGATAAAAATGATAAAAACAAACACAAGATATTAATAAATGTGATAGTTTGTTAGTAGCCTACTGGTGATTCTGCTTATGAAGCTGGTAGGTCGAAATTGGCCCAACCCCCCGTCGAAGTTGCCCCGTTTCGCCCTGTCGAAGTTGCACCAACCCCCAAAATCTCACCCCATCATTTTAAATAAATCATTTAAATTCAAATAATCAACATGTGTAATTCTAGTTTGATTTAAATGAACCCAAGGATATCAAAGTTTGGCTATAAATAACTGATTAGTATTTTGAAGTAAGAAAACAAGCGTGTATAAGAAAGTAAATGATGGGTGAAATATCTATTTTTTTCTTCAAGAGGGAAAAGTACACGGCAACGGAGTGCCGAACTTGGATGGGTGTTTTCTGGAGCTTTCTGACTAAAAAAAGAAACAAGTGGAAACCTAGGAAGCCCAAATTTTATTTTTAGATAGAATCAAATGTGCAACGAATAAAAGTGGGCTTTGATAATTCCACGACACAGGCGTCAAAGGATTCTCAAAAGCCAAGTCTAGGTTGAGGCTGTCGAAGTTGCCCCATGGTCAAATTTGCCCCAACCTACCCTATTTTCCTCAACACCACACTTTGACGTTCACTTAAGGGTGAAAGGGTGAAATCTACAAGCTTACACAGAAATATGGGGGCAGGCTGGTGTCTCTGTCTCAAAATGAGCTATTTGTATGCAAGGTTACAGTAAGTCATTTATTTTCGTGATCCTGTGTATGCATCCAAAGAGCTGTTTTTAACATAGGGTCCAAAGAGAAAAACTTTGTTATTACTGAATCAGGAATTTTTAAAAAAGTATTTATGTTAGGTCGCTGGCCTGCGGAAGTGCCATGCAAAACTCCTAAATTAGCTAGAATTTTTTTAATGCGATCAAACGAAAGTGAACAGTTTCAGTGTCTTACACTCACTACTGTAGCTTGCAATGATGCCTCTCAATACCAGCAATGTGTGTATCATGATAATGCATGTTTTTCTTATAATGTGAACATGCTGCCCAGTGTTTGTAGAGATATGTGGCTTCACAAGTCTGCACAAAGTAAGGATATATATTCTCCACTGGCAGAACTTCCTTGACTTAAAATGCCTGTGTACAATTACCACCACACTCCTAAGACAGATTTTGATAACTGTAATTAAATTTAAAGAGATATTTCATGGGGTTTTTTTAGTCGAAACGCAATGTGTCCATGTGTTGCTACCTACATTTGAAAAGCACTTAAAGCTTGTGTTGTTTAATTGGGTCGAGTGCTGTATAAATTTAATACATTTTTGTTATTTGTAATAAATACATATTTTTATTATTCCCCAGCGAGCTGCCTTGAGCTTTGTTCCAGGTGCCTCTTCCAACATGTTTGTTTTGATCTCAGGACTGGCAGCTCTCTCAGTGCTAGCTGTGTTTGCCCTGCACAAGTACCTGCATTGACCCTGGGCGCATTATAATTGTTTAATTGTAATTCATACAGAAAAGTTAAAAAGACTTGTCTAATTAAGACTGTTTTGCTGTTTTTAAATTTAGAGACATGAGTTTTTGAGATAACAATAACAATACAGATTTGTTATTTCTGACACAGTTGAAGTTAAGAGGTTTGAGCTATGTTGTATTGTTTTGGTTTTTGTTATTTTTTGTTTTTACTTGTATTGTAAAGGGGAATGTCACATAGTTCTTATATATTTAAATTGTTAGAGGATTTTTTTTTTCTACCAAACTTGCAAATGTGACTTTTCCAGTATTTATTGTAACGTCCTTGCTCGTATGCTGCATTGTCTTTGCTGGTAGTGAGCAAGTTACTTGGAAATGGAAGTTTTCTGAATTGCACAATTACTGCCCAGCCTGCTTCTTGTCTGTTGTAATCTATGTTTATGTTAGAAAGGGTAGCTATTATATTATTAACAATATTCTTGCTGATTTGCCAAAAAGCTCTCCTGTTTTCACTTGCACCATATTATGTTATGGTGCTGATATTTTTTTTGCTCTTGTTTCTTACATGAATGTCCTTCCATACTTAAATGGTATTATTGTAGTTTTCTTTATGATAGTATCAACATCTCTCCAATTTTGAAACAGCAGCTTTTTGGTCACAAATTAATAGATTTTCTTGAAATAAGATTTTACTTAACTGGAAACATCTCGGTTAGGAAGGTCATAAGGTGGCTGCTTCTTCCCGTGTTACCATCAAATGGAGCTAAAAATGAAATTGTGTGTGTTTCCTTCCTTGCTTTCTTAAAGAGCACATTGGATGCATATATAAAGACTACGAGACTTTTCATCAAAGCAATTTTTTTTTAAAGGGGAGGGAGAGGGTTGTTTTATGGCAAAGGAAACTGTTTGGTGATTTCATCAGCTGGACATAGAGATTGATATCTTCAACAAGTACAACAGCATTGTCTTTTCCTTGCTCAAGATGGATGTATGGCAACTGACATACCTGATTTACTTTCTAGGAGGAAAACTTTATTACTTCTGTTGTTTTTATTATGAGAATTGATAATCATCCGGCTCTTCTGTCAAACTTGGAGCCATCAGGCAGCAGCAGAAGTACTTGTCTGAGTATTTTTCTAGTGTATGTGTGTTGATGTCTGGAAGTTAGCTGGGTTTTTTATTTTTAAGGGTTAAAATGTTATAGTTTTCTTGGCAATTAGTTGAGCCTATGGAAAAGAGCCTGTACAGTGTTCTTTATTGAGGTGGGGTTTTTTAAAATAATTTTATTGTTAATGACAGCAGCGATTTGTCAAGCGTTACTTTCAGGTCTGTTTGAAGATTATGCGGTAGTTATAGTTTTGTTTGTGTATGAACTTAATTTTTACAAAGTTTTTGTCTGTGGCAGTGAAAGTTCTGTGTATGCCACAGTCACTCCTCCCATTCATTGATGAGAGGGAGGACATGAAAGAGATATATTCGATTCTTTGTCTTTCCACGTGTTTACTTGTTTAATGAAAGACAGCTATATATATATATTTATGTTCCATTTTTAAACATCTTGAGCTCATAATTTTCATTCCAGTGAGAAGGCTAGCCAGAAGTCTCTATGTGAGGGTGGCCTTTGATACGCTTATTCTGTAGGTTGCCATAACATGAAGGTTATGGTCATTGTCATGGGGATAAAGGCTTTTTCCTGGAAAAAAATATAACGTTTTCACGTACAGTGCTGTGTAAAAATATAGTGGGGTGTATTTTGTTTATATAGTTTTGTGCAGCTCTATGTGAATATGAATATCATAAGATTGTGTCTTGTGAGTGTAAGTATTGGCCAAAAGGAATCACCCTTTTTAAAAAATTTATTTGCTTTTTGGAGTTGTTTTTTTTTGGGGGGGGGGGGGGGGTTGTTGTTTTTTACTTTCAGAGTTTTTTGTGGAGTTTTTTTCTTCCCCAAATTAAATTCTACTGTTGATTTTCCTGACTTTTCATTTTGAAATGTCACATGAGTATGACAGCCTTGTCAATCAAAGAGTGGGGAATGACTGATCAGCTTCTTAGTGTAAGACTCTGCCATGTGCCATTTTGAAAAGTGACGTATGATGGAATCTTCCACTGAGCAGTTAGATACAGTCTTGTCTTGCATGGGTGCTGGGTCAACTCTGTAACTCTCAAGGATGTCACTGAGCCGCCTCATTTTATGTCTTCACTTGTTCATCTTTTGATGCTATTACATGTACTTCTTACCACTTATAGCAAAAGTTCTTGTTATTTGCCCGTAAGTCAACACTGTAGAACACTTCTCATTTTGCATTTTGTGTACAGTTTGGTTTATTTGGAGGTTGATTGGACTGTTTTTCAGTCAGTGGTGATGTTGAAAAGGAATTTTTTTTAATGAAAATTGAAAAAAAAAGAAAGGAAGAGAATTCCACCCTCTCTTATTTAATTTTAAAAGAAAACTTTTTAAAAGTATTGTTTTGTCTCACATTTAAGGTCCGCGCTAACTTATGGTCTCTGGTCCCCTACAAAAAAAAAAGTATCACTTGATGTCTTTAGTCATTGACAGTGTCAGTCTCAACTTGTCTCTTCCTCTACCTGTTCGGGTACTTTTTCTTTGAGCACGTCCATTGTGTTGACTGAGCCTTGCATCCTTGTCTCTTGTAGTTAAAACTTTTTTTTGTCATGAAGCACCTTCTGAAAGAATGTCCAGACTTTGGAGAGACACAAAGGAAATATTTTCAATTATTTGTTCTCAATTATATGATCCCAACAGGATTCTCAAGTTTAGTAAGACCATTTGTCTCTATTGAAAGAAGATGTTAACAGTGTTATGTTAGATTATAAATTGCTCTTTTAACCCTCATCCTGCGGGAGCCGGGTTTATGTAGTCCGATAAGCCTATTTCGGCACCTCGCCTGCGTTCTGGTCCCGAGTCAGTGTAGCTCCTGGCTCAGCGCACGCGCAGCGCGCATCCTCTTCCGTGTCATTCGGGTCCCGAGTCGGATCCCCATTCACGCAGGTCAAGTGTGTGTGCGTCAGTCTGCTTGAGTTTGTGTGCGTTTGTGGCCTTCTTCTAGAACCACCTGCGTTGGTTCGTAATCGAGGCATACGTCTCATTCAAAAAATGCAAAGTTGATAGCTCAAGATGTTCGTCCAATTAAATTATAGAAGAAATTGACCCACTTAGACATGAGGAGCTCGAAAGGATAGTCAGGAAACAAGACTTCCATTTTTCTATACAAAATATTTCAAATGAGCTTGATTTTGTATGAAATGATACTACCTGATAAAAAATGAGTTTGTTTGATAGTTTTGAATACCCTTGTGCGGGTACAAAAACAATTTGAGTGTAAAACATTCGGAAATTGACTTAAATTATCCCTTTTCGAACCTCAGGTCATTCATAACAACAAGAGCGTCCAGAAAGGTTATTCAAATGGGCGTAACTACTCGTAATGTCTTATCAGCTTGTGAGAGGGAGTTATTCATGTGTTTGTAACCCTTTATAAATAGAATGCTATGAAGGATAGAGCGTTATTTTCATCATCAGTTAAAACACTCCCGCGGTATTCATGGCGAAAACACACGTTTCGCGGCGCGCGCCCTGTACACCAACAGTACACACTGAGTGACCCCGGCGGCCTGCCCGGCAAGTCCGACGTAATCGGTTGCTGATAAGATACGCATCTGGGCACAGACGCAGGATAAGAGTTAAAACTAAATTTTACCATATATGTGGCACGATGCTGAGGCATCTGTCTATCGTTAATTTTTTAGCATACGGAATTGATAGTATCATCTTAAAGCCTGTCCATTTTCCTTGTTTTGGGTGAAAATAATATCCATCTATGTTGAATAGAAGTCGAGATATGTGTGATTGAGGGGTTGAGGGTCATCTGGTTTCAGAGGTAAAATTAACGAGAAAATGGCCGCCACAGTTGGTTATTTCTTTAGATTGAGAGTCTGTGGAAACTGAAAATTTTTATTTCTTCTGCCTTTAATCAACTTTTTCCTATAAAATCCACCCAGAAATGTGCTCTTTAATGGGCTTGAAAGGTGTTGAACCAAAAAATAAAAATTCGATAAATTATCAGCTTTTATTGGATTCTTCATTTCAGAATTTGTTTCCACAGTCCAGTAATAGCTTAGATTTTCTTTAGACATCTGTATGTTTGCACAAAGTAATGTTAAACTCATTGTTGTAGACAATGGTGACTGATACTGGCTTTTGCTATTCTGTTATTTGAGCGCCACTAATCTAAGCTCATAGATATTTTTGATTGCCAGGTCCTGGATGTTGTATGATTTTGTACTTTTGCACTAGAACCAAAACTGTAAAGCACATTTATGGTAGTGGTCTATGTTATAGAAAGAGTGAATTCCCTTTTTTGTTGTTGTTTTAAAATATTGTTTAATGGTGTGCTGTGATTGTCAAAGAGTTCATTGAATATTGCAGTTTGTAAATGAAAGTGTTTTGCACGCTTGTTATTTAATGGTCCTTTTTTTTTTGGTATGTTTGCTACTGTGCCAATATTTGCCTTTATTTTTAGGAAAAAAATGACACACAACGCACCGGCAGTGAAATTTTAGTTGCGGCAAGGGGTTCCCCGCCGAGCGCCTTATTACGTTGGGGTCACGGGGGTCAGCTCCCTGTCGCCGCTCTGTCTGGGCTGACTTGATTTTTGGTACTTTTCAACGGAAAGTTTTAGGTGTATCCTTGTATTTATGGTAATTATCATTTAATGCACCCAAAGCACGCATTTCTGCTCTTGAGACTAAAAAAAGAACGGACATTGTAACTTGTCTGGTTATTTTGTTAGACGCGCTGAAGTGGGCAATGCTAAATTGTAAAACTTTTTGGACAAGTGTGAATGGGAAAAAAGTCAATAGAAAACAAACAGCACCACAAAAACTGTCGAACTTTTGGAACATGAACGACAAATCATTGGGGCAGATACTCAGAAAAGATGGTGTCTGCACAAGTAATAGAAAGCTGTAATCTTGCAACTTTATCCATCTGTCGCACAATTCATTATGGAGTTATTCCTCCAAATACAACTTTATGTGTCTAATAAAATTGTGAATATTCACATGTTTCTTCAAAAGTTTGTAAACATTACCCTGAAGTCTCTCTAAGAAAAAGTGCAAATCGATTTTAGTGCCAGAAAACATCTACAATGCAATACACGAACAGTATCTATTACACTCAAGAAATTCCTTACTTTTCTTTAAATGCTTAGTCTAGGTTTTGTAAGTTGACTGAATAACAGGGATGACTTACGTAATTGGGTTATATTATAATTATAAGAATAGTTTCTAGCTTTCCAGTGACACTGAATCAGCACCAGACTTTTCCAGCTTTTATTTTCGTTTCTATGACCGTTTGCAATTATAATAACTGACAATGTTCTGACTTCTTTACATCATAAGTGTCCGCGCATATTTCGGACACAAAAAACTAAGAACGCATGTTTTAGCTGTCATTATTTTTATTACATACAAGAAGTTTTTTGAAAATCACGTAATATATCTTTCTCAGTTGTATGCAGGCTGCCACAGAAACAGCATGATTCATAAACAAATACAGAATAACTTTCTCTTGTTTTAATTGTAAAACAAGAGCTAAAGCTGAGTGTCTTTAGTTTAAAAATGCAGATGTGCATCTTTCTTCTCTAATAACTTGACTATTACTACTTCCGCAGATTTAAGATATCTCATGGTAAAAGACACAATGTTCATAGTCAGATTAACACAGATTTTCGTGAGATCTGTCATGCCGTTTTTAAATAAACAATCATTTATTCAAAAGTTTGTTACTAAAATAGGACAAATTGGGTACTCCACAAACACTTATCTAGAACAAAAACTAAGACACGGAAATTAATAGTTCTAACGCAGAATAAATCTCAAGATGTTGAGCTTTTAGTACATCAGTGTAGTGGTTTGCTGTGTGTTATGGGGAAAAAGTTTTATCGTTTCAAAGACAAATTTGCGAACTTCTTAACCGACACCGGCAAAGTCGCTTCAGGGCCCATTGACCCCGAGCCAGGCAGCTCCGGCGGGCTGCTGAGTCACGCTTACTAAAGGTAACAGAATCGGGCGAAAAGTGACGCCGGGGACAGAGAGATAATTAAAAGAAACAAATGTCACGCCTGTGTGTACTACACATTGTTTTATAAATTGAAATGAAAACTTTCCCTGCCTGTACTGATATATCTGAATGAACTTATAGCGTTCACCCCAATATGTTTGCTGCTGTATGAAACTATTCCTCCCAGTTCTCGTTTTGGCTAGAAAATGTAAATACTAAAAAGTGCAAGTGAAAAAAAAAATGTTTTTTTTAAGAAGAGCTAAGCTTTTGGGGGAAGAAGATGTTGTAATGATAGCGGGGTAGTGTGAAGTGCCCTTGCTTATTTTGTATTGTTTATCATTTGAAGGTTAGTATTTATAACAAATGGCAAAAAGTATCATGTAAATCCATGCTAAACAGTTGCTATTTTAAATGTCCAAAGTAATGCATTAGGTTCTTGACTTCATTTTGCAAACCTGTATTTTAAGTTCCATAGTTGTTCTCGAGTGTGCTGAAGCAGCTAAAACGAGCATGTTGTTGTTTATAAACCAAGACCGTCCCGTCCCTTTTGGGCTGCCTGACATTTTCCCCCTCTGCATAAATGTCATCCCCTATTGTCCAGTTTTTACAACCCTCTCACCATTGTACAAAATGTACAGGGAAGGAAAGTATTTGCACCCGCAGTATTTTAGTGCATACATTATCAGCTTTCAGGTTTGAAATTCACTGTATACCTAACTATTCAAACCTTCCTCTTGAGATCATGTAAATGATTATTGGTCTGTGTGTGTGTGTTATCAGGATTTGGGTTTTGTAGGTTTTACTGCTGGTTTGGTTGTTTTTCCCTAGTCTGCTGGTGGTTGGAGGGTGCCACTGGTACGTCATATTTCTTTGGTGTCCCTCTGTTGTTTTTCACCGTCAAGCTTTTTCCCCAAAGCAAATTACAGTTATGGTATTAATGTTGTTGTAATCTTGTAATCTTTGCCCTGCGGTTTGTCGGCAGTCTGGTGCACTTTGTTCCTTCCACTTTTCTGATCAAACAGATTTATCTGGAGAGGTTTTCTGTGTCATGAAAAATGTTGGATTTTTTCAAATATTATCTGTAAATGCTTTATCGGTGTTGAATGTTCAAAGAAGAACTGGCATTTATTTTGTTCTGTTGCTCAAAAGAGAGACAAACATGCAAATATCTCATAAATCTGTTTATGGTTGCTGAGTGTTTTGAATGTTTTTTAAAACCTAGTCCGAAGGTTCTAACTGCTGTTCATATGTTGGATAAATGTAAACAAGTCACTTTTAATGATAATAAGGTATATGTATCTGTGTCAGATACAAGCTTAACCAATTGTGAGACTTTAAAAAAAATTCTAATGTTTTATCTTGAAACATTGCTGTACTACAATGTACTCCATTTCAACTGCTTAGTGTAAGACACCACCATTCGCCATTTTGGAA